GGAGGAAGACGCCATCCGAAGTTGCGACATGAATGCCGCATTTCAGAAGTTTTGCCTTCTAGAGCACCGAAGGACACAGTTTAGGTCAGCCCTCACAGTGGCATCTGCACTCCAGCCCCAGTGGCGTGTCATCATCGCACTCCTGGCTCGTTCCCTCTACCCGACTTACCACAACCCGAACAAGATAACCAAGAGGATCTTACTGGCTTGTTCTTTCATGGTGGATCCGTCTAGCAATCTGCACCTGGGTTCAGTCGTGGCCACTTCTTTTGACAGGGCCATGGGGGGTAAACGTTGTTATGTCACATCCCTACATCCCCCTCCTTGCTCGACACTTCAATGTCAGCCTTGCGTGGTGCATTAGGGAGGGGCGCACCTCGGGGTTTGACGAGGGCACCTTGCACTCCATGCGCTTATTGCGCACCTTTGGACCATTTCGGTACATTGAGGGATTAATTCTATCTCTAGGGGTTCCACCCCCAGAGCAGCCACCTGCTCGAGCATCTGGCGCTCCAGTGCCTATACCACCAACAGCAACAGCTTCATCATCCAGAGTAGCTGGTGATACCCTCGTCCAGAGGATGGATCGCCTCGAGACTCAATTTGGGGTAGTGACTTCCCGCCTCGACCGGTAGACCGGCCTCCTTGAGCAGATGGCTCGATGCCAGGGTCTCATTCCCGATGATGAGCCGGTGTGTTCGACCCAGTGAGAGGTAGCCGACGAGGGAGATATGTGGCATAACCAATTCCTTTCGCCCCACTACTCCACTTGGAACTCTAAACTCATTTTTCTTTCGTTTTATGTGTTTGTGACTCCACTTGGACCTCATCTTGAGCGAGTCATATTGTATTTGTGTAATAATCCACTAATTTTTTGAATTACCCGGGATCGGATGGGTACACTAGAAAATTCTTCTGCGCATTTTGGGATATTGTTGGTGATTCTGTGGTTGAAGCTGTCTGTTCTTTTTTTTTTCATACAGGACAGATGTTACGAAGTTTTAACCATACTTGGCTAATGCTTATTCCCAAAGTAGATAACGTGGAGAATATGCGACAGTTGAGACCTATAAGTTTATGTCAGTTTGTGCACAAAATCATTGCCAAAACTATTTTTGAAGGATTAGCTCGGTTACTCCCCGAGATAATCTCTCTAGGGCAGAATGCGTTTATTCGTGAAAGACAAATTGTGGATAATGTTCTCCTTGGTCACGAATTGATGCACTACCTTAAAATTAAGTCTAAGGGTAAGAATGGGTATATGGATCTGAAGGGTGATATGAAAAAGGCATAAGATAGAGTCGAATGGTCGTTCTTACTTGCGGTCTTAAGGAAAATGGATTTTAGTCCGATTTCGATGCAGTGGATTGAGGAGTGCTTGCGCTCTTCCTCGTTTTCGGTTCTTATGAATGGTACACCAGCTAGCTATTTTAACTCGACTAGGGGACTGCGACAGGACGATCCTTTGTCCCCCCCCCTCCTCTTTGTTATTTGCATGGAGGGTTTTGCGGTGCTATTACACAAGGCAATTGAGGAGCAGAAACCAGCTGGTGTCCGGGTTAGTCCTAGAGCTTCGCGGGTTTCACATATCTTCTTTGCAGATGATTCATATATGTTCCTCAGAGGATCGATGCAAGAATGTGAGAACTTGTTGGTGGTTTTGAATGAATACGAGGAGCTTAGTGGACAGAGAGTCAACTCGGCTAAATCTGCAGTTTGCTTTAGCAAGAGTATTCTGCCAGTTGATCAAGAGTCCCTAGCTCTCCGGCTCAAAGTAGGAGCGGTTGGTGTCCAGGATAAATACTTGGGCTTACCCACCTTAGTTGTTCGGTACAAGATGGCTACTTTCCGGTATTTGGAGGAGAAACAGTTGCAGGGATGGAAGCAGAAGGTGCTATCATGGGCGACAAAGGAGACGTTGGTTAAATCAATTGTGTTCTCGTTGCCGTTACATGTTATGTCCTGCTTTAAACATCCCCTATCTCTTTGTCGAATTCTGGATAGACATTTTGCTAGATTCTGGTGGGGGTGGAAGGAGGTCGTCCGCGAGTTAGATGGATTTCTTGGCAGAACTTATGCACGAGTAAACATGATGAGGGGGATGGATTTCCGGTGATTTAAGCATTTTAATCAAGCCCTCTTGGCTAAGATTGGATGGCGTATTCTCAATGAACCTAACTCTCTACTATCCCAGGTATATAAGGGCAAGTACTTTCCAAATGGTACATTTCGAATAGATACTGCTCGGTCACGCCCGTGGTGGCCTGTGGGGGTGGCAAAGTATTCTCCATGGCCGCCAACTCCTTCAGCGAGGACTTCGATGGAAGGTTGGGGGGTGGATGGTGTCGCCAATCGATTCAGCACCTGTTTCCTCCTGATGTGGTTTGGGACATCTTGGTGATTCCCTTGCCTTGAATGATTATTGGGGATAGGTTGGTAAGGCATGATACTTGTGATGGCGTGTTTACTGTCAAGTCCGCTTATCACCTAGCGATTCTCGTGGATAGACAGGTGGGGGTGTGGCGCCACGGGGTGAGCTGGATGGATAGGGCGAGTTGGATAAGAGTGTGGGACCTCAAGATCCCACCTAAACTTAAGATGTTCCTATGGAAAATCTTTAATCATATCTTGCCTACCACGGAAGCCTTGATTGAGAAACGGGTCCAGATTATGCTTAGATGTCCGGTGTGTTGGGCGGAGACTGAAACGATGGAGCACCTTTTTTGGGAGTGTCCAGTCGCTACAACTCTTTAAACTCATTAGGGTTTGGAACATCTGGGGCTAGATTTGCCGAGACAGGCCTTCCCTTTGTTCCTTAAGAAGTGCTTGCTTAGGATGACCCAGCCGGATCAAGTTATGGCTTTGGTGGCGCTCCTGTGGCGTATTTGGAAATCAAGGAATTGGGCGGATTTTGATGGTAAGCAGTTCTTGGTTTCCTAACTGATGCATTAATACCATCAGCAGCTCCATGAGTGGGTGTCTTTACCGGAGGATAGATTGGTCTTGGGGTGGGGTCCTTGGCAGCACAATTAGGAGGAGGTGGATTTGCCAACTTTCATTTGTATGTGGGATGGTGCGGTGCGTTCTAGCTCACATTCAGCAGGAGGGCTGATCATGAAGGATGGAGGTGGGAATGTGGTGTTAGCGAAAAGTTTGTTCTTTGAAGGTATTGTGGATCCTCTTGTGGTTGAGACTATTATCCTCCGTGACGCTATTCATTGGTGTCAGAATCTTGGCATCCCTCAAGTACGGTTTGAAGGCGATGCGAAGATACTCATTGATAAAATTTATGCCAAAGATGCGCGGGATAGTCGTGTTGGGGTTATTATCAATGAGATACTACGTCTGATGAGTCTGAATAGTGGGCTTCATGTTCGGTTCGTGGGTCTGAATAGCAATAGGATAACCCATTCATTGGCTAGGAAGACCCTTTCTTTGTTTCCGGCTTCGTGTCAATTGTATAATTTTTGTGCCTGTGTTGGATCCAGGGTGTAATTTGTGATCTTTTATCAATAAATATGATTATCTTTTGTTAAAAAAAAAAAAAAGCAACCCAAATTTCAAGTAGCTAAACTCTGCAAGTCTATTGACTTATCTTTTAGTACCTAATGAGATCAGATGTGAACTACAAGAAATATTCTAGATATAGAAGGGAGGGGAGACCGCAATAGGCAGCGGCGCGATGCTGATGATTTTGATGATCTGGTTGATAAAAAAGGATAATTTTTTTACATTTTTTTTAATTCAAACTTTACAAATTTGTAACTCGCTATAAATTACATATGTCATGGTTAATGTCATATCACTAACTCTAATTAGAATCGTCAATAAAATAAGAAGTTTATGTACCATCATGACTAAAGATATAAATGAATGGGAGTGGTTCATGTTCATTACCTTATGGTCAATAACCATGCATAATCTGTCACATCATCATTTACGGAAGTTCCCTAACCATTTCTCCTATAAATTTTAAGGAGCTATATCTTTTTTATTTTAAGTCGTAATTAATTTTTTGCATAGATAAATATGATAATTTGTGTTTTTCAAATGATATCCACTTTAGTATATTTTTGGAACAGAAAAATTGAGACATTTAGTACACTCTATACCATGGTGGTAATGCTTGGTACTACATCAAATTATACCAAGTGGTATTGAAGTGTACCATGGTGGTACGCAATGTAGTGAAAATCACGCTTTAAATCTTAAAAACTTACGCTTTTACGTTTCTAGATCACAAAAACGCTTCTACGCAAGATCGCAATTTTTATAGCTCATGTAGTTAAAACCCCGCTTTAAAAGTTACAAACTTACTATTTTACGCTTCTAGATCACCAAAATACTTCTACGTAGGAACGCTCTTTTGAGTACATTAGTGGTATGAACATAACAAAGTATATAATGGTTGAATACATGATAGTAGGAATATAAGAACTTCATTTATCACATTCATCATTGTGTACCACCAGTTATCACCCCTATACTAGGGTGGTATGGATTTATATGTTTTGGTCCTATATTTTTTTCCCAGAAAATTTGTAGATCGAATAATCACGATGAAGTCGTTCCATATGTGCAAAAAAATTCAAAATTTGAGTTAAAAAAGGTGGTACCAATGTGGTAACGAGTGGTATTTTTTTTTTTGGAAATATATTGAAAACAGATTTCATTTTGTAGATCACAACAAACTCGTTCCATATGTACAAAATAATTTGAAATAAAACTTAGCACGAAAAAAATAAAAGCCGATTAAGAAAACTAAGAAAAATAAAAAGTCATTAATTATCACCCTTTAGATTTGAACTTTTATAGTAGCCATTTGAACCAATTCAAAGTCGCTATCTCTACCTATCTTTTCTCTGAATTCTCTCTAGCTTAGAGTTTCAATTCCGATTTCCTCCACAGAGCTGTCGTCGGCTTCCCCTCTAGGACGGTGGTGGCCCTCCATATCCTTTTCCTTTTGATTGCTTTCTTTTTTCACTTTGTCAATTTTGGTTTTGCACGTTTACTTTGTATTAATTTGTTCTTCCTTTGCTTCTCCTTTCTTGATCGACGCTTCTCTTCTCCCTTGCATGGGTCCTCTCTCTGTTCCCTTTGTGGATTCTACCTTTGTTCCTCTGATCTAGTTCCTATATCTGGAGATCTCTGATCTAAGTGGCTTCGAGGTGGGTTGCTCTTTCGACTAGCTTGTCTTCCCATTTCCAACCCCTTCGTCTACCTCGTTGTTGCACCCTGTATGTTTGGTGATTCGGAGATGCAAGAGCCATTGACTTGGACTCAGGTTGGAGAAATTCGAAGACAAAGATCATCCCTCTGGCTCCTCTCACTGCCTGCCTAATCGTTGTGATGTTTTTCCATGGTGTGGGTGTGGTGATGCCGGCGACGATCGGTCTGGGGAGGTTTGTTTGGAGGGTGCCTCTCCACTGCCTTCCATTCGCGGTGGTTTGAACTTGGCTCCCCCCTTCTCGTCGTCTCGTTGACCCTCTTTCACGTGCTGGTGGCTCATTAGTGGTGGTGGGTTCCGATTGCGTCTGGTGGCGGAGGAGTTTTCGGCCAGCGCCTGTGATTTCTCTAAAGGAGTTGCTTGGCGGCTAGAGTTTTGGACGGTTTGACTACGTTGTAGTCCTTGGGTTAGGGCTCTATTGGGCCTTCGGTTTGATTGTCCTTGCCTTGTAATTTGTATATTTTCTTTTGCCATCTTAATGAACTGCACTTTGTAAAAAAAAAATACTTTTTATTAGCCAAACCATCCAAATTATTAGTCAAATCTTTCTAAATACAAAATATTAGTAAAATCTTAATAACGCATAAAAATATTAGCAATTTGTTTGTTACCATTAGTAATTTTGTAACTCTTTTTTTAATTAAAATATTAAAATTATAAAATATTGTCTATTATGTATCTTCCAAATCATTATCATATTGCCAATTCCATATTACTAACAAAACTACAAATAACTTCGACTAACATTTTGTACTTTTGGCTAAGAATGAGCTGCAAATTCTGAGCCACTACAAGATGATTTATCGCCTACCATTGGGCTAGTGATGGCAATGGGTCGGGGCGGGGCGGGTACCTTAGTACCCATGCCCCGCCCCACGCTAGTACGGGTCGGGGCGGGTAATACCCGCGCGGGAACGGGGCGGGGCGGGTCGACTCACTCTTACATGCTATTTGAGAAAAATACACGCACAATTTTACCTTTTATGATAAAACGAGAGGAAAATACTTGATGAATGAATAATAGTGATAATATAATAAGTAATTGAGTCTATTTAGTTGAAAGATCAAATCTAAATAGTTGAATAAAAGTCAAAATAGGATATATATGAATGGATGGGGTAAAAGATTGACATAGAACGGGATAAGAATGGGGCGGGGCGGGACAGGGCGGGTCGGAAGTTGATACCCCATGCCCCGCCCCACGCTGATGCGGGTCGGGTAATACCCTCCCCATCGCGGGTCAGGTCGGGTATTACCCGGCGGGGCGGGTTCAAATTGCCATCCCTACATTGGGCAATCCGGCCGTTGTGGTGAGTGAGAGGTCTTGGAATTTAGGGGGGAAAAAAAATCATCCGTGTCTGGCAAAATGTTCATCATCTGTGACTTGGTAGGAGGAACAAACACGTCTGCAGTCTAAGAATACAAACACGTCTGCAGTCTGCTGAGCAGAGGTTTCACCTGTGCTCGCACAATTTTTATAATCGTTTTGTCGCTCGCTCTCCAGGAGCTGCTTCTATCTAAAAACTCATCTATACAGAACCAGAAAAACGCCCCAAGAAAGAGGCTCAAGAACTCACTCGCTCAAGTGGCAAAGGCTTTGCTCGTATACAAAAACAAAAAGGTTAAAAGAAAAATGGAACTGGTCAATCTCTTCCAAACTCTATCAGTGTTCTCCGCTCAAGTGGGCACAGCGTTGTGGTGGTGATGGTGGTGGTGTGCACAAAGTGGCTCTCCTCTTTGTGCATCTAGGACGAGATAGATGATGATATGGAAAAACTCTAGCATATAAAAAGCCACTTGCTCCTTTTGCTGTCTCCCTCCGAACACTTGCATTTCACACAATCGGGATTGGAAGTGTATTCTCAAGATGGTTAGAATGATGCATTTGTTTCTGAACAGCCTTAACCGCTGCTACTCTAGCTGCATTCGCTGCTCTGTTAGCTGCTGTTACTCCTTTATTCACCCTCTCATCCACCTTCCCCACATCGTAAGCCCTCTCTGCAGCCCGCCTTGCTTCCTGGCCACGCCAAATATAAGTGAGAATGGTCCATCAGACTTGAGATGATCAAAACTCCGCAACAAGGAACATGCAACAAAGCATCCACACGTTAACAGCTAATGAAGTGAAAAGTTAAATCAATTGTACCTGAACAGCGTTGAGTACTTTAGAATGATAAACAGCAACAGGTGAGACAGGAGGGGTTGTATTCTGAGTGCTTGGGATATTAAGAATTCCGTTCTGCCAATGTCCTGATTGTGTCTCCCCATTCCTGAATGTATACATTCCCAGGCCTTGCCTTCTACCCTCATGCCAGGCTCCTTCATATCTATGCCCATTTGCAAAACGGTACAACCCAAATCCATGCATCTTGTCCGCGAAATATTCTCCAGAATACGTGTCACCATTTCTATAATAAACATTCAACACCATCAGAAAAATGGCAAACAGAACAATAAGAAGCTCTACATGAATTTGTAACACAATTATCAAATTTGCCAAATGCATACAATGACAACTTATAACAAGAAAAGAAAAGAAAGTTTCATTACGCACTTTTAGCGGCAAGAATTCTTATAACAAGAAAAGAAAGATTCTAGTAAGACTTCCCATAATAAGACTCTACAGCCAACGCGGAGAGAGAAACTAGCCAGCTATCGTATAGACTATAGATGATAGCTAAAGGATGTGCCTTTGACTTGAGCATTAATTGATTGGACGACCAAACCTCAGAGTGATCAAACAACATACCCTACTTGTTCCCTGAAGGGATCCGACAAGAATGAAAGAAAGGACAAAGAAGCATGTCCAGATAATCAGATAACACTCCAAGAGCGTATCTCAGCCAGAAATATCTTCTTCACTAACAATGGAGGGGCAGTCCACAACTTGATCAAAGAGAACAAACAAGAGACATCTTAAAAAATATCACAGGAGCTAAATGCCAGATCATCCTTGCACTATATATCCATAACTGCATACTTATGCTCACTGTTCAGCAGTCCCTTAGGCTTTTCAATGCAACCCAAGTTCGCACAAATATCGATGACTCCGTCCAATTACAGGCTAAGAGAACAACAGGTGCATTGCCATGATAACAAGAACTCAAGCTACATGAGGCGACCAAACTCCAAAGTGAAGACAGCATTTCGGAGATTAAGCTTCTTCCATGTGTTCGGTGGCTAAAAGAACCCCCCCAAGGCCTTGCACATTTTCTCTCACTATGAAATGATAATGCTTTCCATCCATCAACTTACAAACAAGAGGAAGGGGGGAAACCCAGCTAAGCTAGAGTGCTTTACTAGCACCATATATGAGGTAAACCATATTGACAGGGATAACTGCAAGCACTTTATCCTTCGGTCCAACAAAAAAAGAACTTTATTGTTGGCCGCCAACTTCAAGTAAGACGCCTACAATTTTCCACAATTAGACAACAAATCCTCACAGCAATCACATCAAAGCAACAACATCCCAAGGCACAGAAAACTGAAACCAATACCCTACTTGCAAAATCCAATAAATGATTACCAAGATACGTTCAATCAAGTACACGAGAAGGAGAACAGCAGATGACTAATTCAGTAATCATGTCCATTTAACATGAAGGATAAAGGAGTTGAGAGAGATATGCACACTACCTGAAATGGTAGTGACCAAGACCATGCTTGACCCCCCATTTGAATTCTCCAACATACCTACTACCATCTTCACAAGTATGAACTCCACAGCCGTGGCTTTGGCCATTAGACCATTCCCCAGCGTACACATCTCCTGTATAAAACCTATAAACTCCAAACCCATGACGAAGACCTTGGCTGTATTGGCCTCTGTAGCGGCTCCCTCTCGCCCAGGTCTCCACTCCATAGCCATCATATTTGCCATCAACCCAATCCCCCTCGTACCTCCCGCTCATGTAATAATAGTACACTCCACTCCCGGAGCACTTACCTTTGTGGAATTCTCCCTCGTAGACGTCCCCGTTGCTGTAAACCTGAACCCAACAACCAGAATGACCTCTTTTCTCCGGTCTGGGTCTGGACCCAATCGACCACAACACAGGCAACGGGGGTTTAGAAATCTTAGAGGAGGCAGCGAGCTTTATCGGAAAGGAGCGGGCTAGGAACAATCGGATTGAAGGGAGCCGAGGGAGGGCGAGATTTAGGGAGAACAAGAGAACAGAAGAGAAGGCAAAAGCAGAGAAGAAGTCGAGGAAAAAAGAGTGGCTAGGATGGGAAACGAGGAAGTAGAAGAAGGGGAGAGAGAAGAGAAGAATTAGACGGAGATGGACTCGGATACGCCGGAAGTGGCGGAAACGGCGGAGGAACCGAAGGGCGGTGGATTTGGCAGCGATTGAGAGAGTCAATAGCGGGTGATGAGGAGGAGAGGATGATGGGGAGAAATGGTAGATGGTGGGGGATTTGGGAAGGGAGGAAGAGCGACGAGGCAGAGGAGGGGGAGGGCCAGCCACAGCCAGACCGGCGGACGCGTGGTGGTTGTGGTGGGTCAAAAGGGTCCGCTTGTAAGGGGTAGATGCAGAAGAAGCCGATGAAGGTGAGGGCGCAATTGGGTCATTAGGGGTCGGTTGAATATCTTCAGAGAAATCGACGAGAATCTGGGCAGGATGGGAAGGCAGGGCGGTGGAGGAAAGATGACAGAGACGGTGGTGATCGGAGGTAGCAGTGGTCGCGGAAGAGGAAGAAGGCGGTGGGGGGAAGAGGAGGGGAGGGGTAGGGTTGAAATCGGAAGAGACGCCGCTGCTTTCTTTTCCGATTTGGACTTCTGATTTCTTCTGATGCATTACATAAAGAAGAAGGGGGCAGGTGAGAGGGGCTTCAAAGGAAATCTCCGGTTTTCCGAAGTCTCAACACTCCCAACTGTGGATTGATTGATTGATTGATTGATGGGTTGGGTTGGGTTGCCTTCTTCCTCACTTCGCTCTCCCTCTGCAATTGAAATCGTGGATGATCAATTCTTTGCCTTCCGAGCTCCAAACCGGTGGGGAATTCTCAATCTGAAGCAGGAACTGGAACTGGGGGAAACTGGAACTGGGTGGCTTGCTGCTACTGCTGCTTGAAGAAAATGGGCGGGCGAAAGAAGACGACGGAGATGTCGAAGAATGAAAAGGGGAATGGAAGCACGAAAGTGTGGGAGGGAAGGAAGGAAGAGAGTGAATTTTGCGGGGAGAAGAAGACAGACAGACAGAAAGGAAGGGGCGATGTGTGCGGGGAGCCGTCTGGTCTTTTGGTCTCGTGGTTGGTTTCTTAACAAATCAATCAATAAACCGCAACACGATTAATTAATTAATATTGCACATATTTAGTAAAGTTCGATTTGGGGATTTCGCCCCATTTTATTCTTCTTACCCAAAAACAAAAAAGAAGAAAAAAAAACATCTGTAATAATAATTTACACAATTCGTCTCTTCCGCACGCTGCACGCACCTACCCCGGCCCCGTCGAAGGAAGCTCAACATCGTTTTCACTTCTGCAGTTGAAGCCATACCCGGAGTTCTTGCCCCGCCCGACATTAAACAACCGCACCGGCTGCAGCGACCCCATTCCCGGCTTCCGATTCATGCAATTGCACTGTGCCCAAGTAATCTTTTCCCTCTGGCCGGGAGGATTGTCTTCATCGCCGAATTAAACTATTTGGATTGTCTTTCTTTCAGTAGTCGTGTTGCTTTCTTCTATGTTTCCTTTCTTCATCCCGCTTCATTATAGTTGAATTTAAGGTTATACTCCATTCTTGGTGGTGGGGATTCGAACAATACAGAATTCACAACGTTAATCGTCTCCAGCTTTGGTTACATTAAAGTTCACTTCATGGTGCTGCCGGCCTGTTCAGCGCGGAAGTAAAACTTGCTTTCAAACTTAACGGGACCAAATACTGGTACAAAGGTTAATTCTTCATACCTCCTTTTAGCTTTGCAAACTGGGTCTTTGTGTGCTTGGTTCTGTAGAGGCCAGGATTAAGTAATAAGGTAGTAACTGTAAAGTTCTATGCTTGCTCATGCTCTTATGGGTACAATCAATTCAACTGCTTTTGAAAGGAGAAGCCAAAAAGTTCATTTTACCTTCTTCTATTGCAGCTCAGCATAAGATTGAGAAAGTGAGCCAAAATCAAAGTAGAAAAGGAGGCATGGCTTAGTGGAGGAGAAGGCAGACTCAGGTAATTCGACTTTTTGGGTTTTCATTTCAATTTGGTTGCTCTTATGCGATGGGTTCGTGTATGATCGAACTCGTGTTCATGGCTTTTCCTGCCTTTCCTAAATATCATACTTGGGGTCTTTGTATTCTATAAAAATCAACTATTTTTATCAATTCTTGCAGTGGGAGAACTATGGAGTAGTTGAGCTTCATAACTTCAGCAATTCAACTATCAGGGGTCCATTTTCATGAAAGTTAGAGCCTTGAACAGCTTAAGTCTGTTGTTTCTTTTTCTCTTGGTGGTGGTGCCAAGATCATCCGAGCTTAATTTCTTAAACTGCAGGTCTGTCTGCGTCATATCTTCTGGGTTTGAATGACTAAACCTATGATCAAGCTGGGGTGGGTGTAGAGGAAGTTGGTGTTGGTTAGATGATTGGTTTCCTTTTTGCCAACAACTTTGTTGGGTTACTTGCTTTGGTTGCTGTTAGGAAGATAAATGCCATTTCTTATGTGTTTGTGTTGCCCCATTATTTTGTGTTAGATGCATGCGCATGGTTGAAAGTGATATGTTGTGGAACCTGGCAATATATTTTCATGCCTGCAGTTTCCCCGTCTCTTTTTCGGGGTATGAGTTTTCTGGTAATTTTTTTCTGCGAATGACAGCTCTGTCTAGGTCTGCAATTTAGATTGGTGGGTTAATTCTTGCTATCGAGGTTTTCTTATGTAGTGTTTGATTTTCTCCTTTCGTTCAACTTGCTTTCTAATTAATTGGGAAAAGAATTGGTGTCTTCCACTTATCGAGTGCTTTGAATCTAATTAATCTCAATGGCCTCAAACATCTATACCTTCTGAAGGATTTGACGGTGAGTTTTTGTGGTATACTGAGAAACTACCCAGCCTGTCAAATTTGGCTAGGTTACGGAAGCTTGAGATTATTGATTGTCCACTCCTCTATGAAATCAAAGGGCTTGGTGAGGTTGGGGATTTGTCGATTCTACAGATCAGAAGATGTTATCAGTTCAATGGGGTGATGGGGCTCGATAGATTGGAGTCGTTGCAAGAATTGTTGATTACTCATAACCCGTCGATTATGAAGCTGCGTGGTTTATCTGTTTTGGAGCACTTATGGGTTCTGGCCAAGCATATCGATTACAGGTAATAGTTAGCGTGCAGAGGTAACTGGGTTTCGAAGATATTGATGGAGTGGGACAACAACAATTCGGATCTGAGAGGCGACGAGGAGGAAAGCAGCTTCGACCTCAACGATGGCGTTGGTCCAATCCCTTTCCTGTCGAGAGCTTGCTTCAAACCGCGCATTGTGGGTTCGTGGTCACGGATGCTCTTGAGCCTGACCACCTATCATCTACCTCAATACCGTATTCGAGATGGTTACTGGGTATCAAGCTGAGGAGGTGCTCGACGCAACCGGTACGTCTTTTCTCTCCCTTTGTTTTGCTAATTCAGAGCTGTGATTTTTGGTTTAGTTCCTCGATTTCGCACTGTTCATAGGATGGGGTGCGATATTGTTTTCGAGTGTTGTACAATTTACACTTCATAATTCTATGTATTATTGATAGCGGAGAGTTTCAGATGGGGTGATTTAGAAATTATTAGAGTAGCCATTCCATGGGAATTTTATTATTGGATATAAGGAAGTGATGCTCGGTGTTGAAGGTGTTATTTCAAATCCAACTGTCATTGTTATGCAGATTACCATTAGTATTTCTGCATAGAAATATGGGTTACTATTTGGTTTCACGTGCTTTACTCTCTGTACTTGCATCTATATCCAACATCATGAAGGTACACAGTTTTATCATGTTCTTAAGGGTAATTTTAGCGAGTAGTCTCATCGTTCCGATTCTATAATCATAGTGTCGTCTGGCCTGGTCTTTGTAATGGAATTAATTGTTATGCTTGCCATCATGCCATGACTTACAGAATGCTAAGAAGGAAGAACCAAAACATTAGGCATATGGAGATAGGTGGTGAGTAGTAAGGCTCTGTGTGTGTAATGCCTAAAGTGGGGGTCTCCTTGGTCTTAGTGCTCGGATGCTGCGCTAACCGGGTAGTATCTATAGTAGTTGCAGCGGTAGCGGTGGCCAACTTAGACTGAAGTAGCTCCAATGAATCACCGAGCGCCATTCCTCGACCCCGTCTCGCTCTAATCGGCCTGATTCGGTGCTAGAACTGTAATGGAGATGCGGAGCATTGAATCTGAGGCGGATTCAACTAGGGTTTGACGGAAAGAATGTTGGTTAGGCTGACGGATGGATCAAATCTGCCAGAGAAGATCTACAAGACGGATCAGGTCAAGGCAGAGCAGGCGAGCCATTGACCATCAAACATGTTGGGGTCGAATGAGGAGCTCAGAATTACAAAACTCAGGTACTCTTCTTTCCTAATGAAATTTCATTGGTTTTTTTATTCATACATGGTTATATAGAAATCATAGTTGGTAGAAAAAGATAGAATAAAAAACCTTTTTTGGGGACGTTCTTCTCCACGAAGAATAAGCTATGTATGAACGATATGGGGCTCTTTTGCACTACATAACCGTGGTGGGGATATGGCTGTGTATGTTGTGTTGATGCATTGCAGTCCGCAAGTGCCTTGCTTAATCACGAGGTTTGTTAGTTTTCCTTTATTAAGTGTTTTATCTGGCTTAGTAGCTTTTAGAAACCTCTTTGTCCGGCTGAAAATGGATGTTGTGTCATTGTTGTAGTGGATGGTTAGTCTTCAGTCATAAGACATTGATTTCTAATTTAGCTTTTGCCTTGATGATGGATGTAAGATGTACTACTGTACCCTTTGATTTTGCTCCGTAAACAGTTATAAGACATTGAAAACTGAACTCCAGAATTGCTTATCACTATTAGCGTTAGCCAACCACAATTGGACCATCTCCTCATCATGCGAAGAATGACGATTATTTCAATAAAGAAGTGCTTTCTTGGTTAGTTGATGACGTTTCCTCACCTTCAACTAATATGGATATGTTGTTAGTTTCCTGCTTCTCTTTACCATGAAGTTACCTGAATGCGTTCTTCATTTTGGTTGGTTAGAATTCTATTTAAATGCAATACTTAGATATTAGAAAGGGAAAGTGTTGTTCTTCTCTAAATTTGGTTATATTTCTGTTGCCAGATCATGGTTGCGTAGAACTTGATTGATGATAAGATCTACCGAGTGAAAACCATGATCATTCGTAGAGGCAGGATAACTGATGTTATGAAAAGGGTCTTGAACAGTCAAGTTTGTCATGGCACTGTTTGAAAAACACTACCAGATGTCAGTATGGTGAATGAGCTAGGGAAAAAGGTTAGTCAATAATTGTAGAAAACTCAACTCTATGAACTGATTCCATAGCACACTGTGAGAATTTGTTAAATCCCTTTTCATATCAGAGACATTCCATGATGTTATTTTGTTATCCAATACAATCCTTTTGTGAATTGGCATTGATCATGTCTCTTCCTTTTAATATATTTCAACGCCAGCCAGAAAGGAGCAACACAGAGAAGAAAAACAAGAACATGAAGGTGTCAAATTTTGAAGTCATGATCATGCCTTGAATAGTAGTTTACAAGATGTTGCACCGTCTAGCATTGGGGTTAAATCTCTTCATACATATATAATGTACCACAGAGTTATTTCTGTAGATGAATTGAGCTTTCTTTCCCCATTTAGAAAATGTTATTTTTGAATTGTCAATTAGTTAGATTAGAAAAATGTGACTGTTATTCGTATTTGTTTGTGAATCTATACAAATGTTTAATTTATAAGTTTGGTTTGACGGTTTGCCAGAAAAGTAGAACGAAAATAATTATTTAGAAGCAATAACTCATTTATGTTTCAATAATTGTTTTGGTGAATTTTTAAATGAGGTACAAAGTCCGTCAACACAGTATTGCTAATCTTCCCTATGTTAATGTCCAATTAACTCATGAACAGTGTTTTATTCATGAGCTGGGCTACTATTGAAGATTTCAAATGTTTAAGTAGGATTTTTTCCCCAGTAAAATTTGGATTGAACGCCTCTTTTACGTGTAAATAGCCAGGAGGTGAACTCCTCTCTCCAACTATATCATGAATTATGTTTGTTACTCTTCAGGAGCCAAACAAAAATAATTTTCTTTTGGCATCCAAATTTCAATAAATCAGGATAAGCCTAATACATACAGACTATAAAAAAAATCAGTAGACTTTTTGCGTAATTAAATCATCTTCGTCATGTACATCAATGAGCTCAACTAAGAAATTCACTCGTTAATCAGACTGGGCTTCGTGGAGCGAAACGAGGCCTTCACTTTCTTAAATAATATTTTTAAGATAATGTTTGAAAATAGATAGTCGACCACTCTCTCTCGTTCCACAAATCAATTGCTAAAACTAATTTGACCAACGGGACGGGTCAAAACTAGTAAGAATAATCAAAGAAGAAGTACCATAATAGTCTCATTATCTAGAGAGGAAGACCTGGAGACCAGGTTTGGTCACTTTTAATAAATAATTATGCAAATCAATAAATATAAACAGAAAAAGTCAAGTAGTGGTGGTGTCAAGGCTTAAGGGCTAAGAGTAAAACCGCGTGCGTTATGGGTGGAGGAGGTAAGCTCTTGTCAAATTTATTATATATTGATTTCAGAAATTTTGGTTACTCAAACCAAAACCGCTCCACCAAGTTTGCATCATGTACCCAATTAAGCAATAGTTAACATTGAAAGTGATCATTTTGTTCTATTGTTCTATTGTAGCTATATAATCCACTTGCAATTGTTTATGTAGTTAATATTGTATTTTACATTTGAATTATAACAAAATAAAGTAGAAAATAAAATAAAGAATTCTCATTTCTCAAAGCCATTTTGGATTTCATATGCAATTACTTTTGTTGCAATGCAATGGTTAGCAATATTAAAAGCATTCACATCAATGACATTGCAAAACCAATTGCATACATGATTTTATTGCCACATACGAATATTTTGCCCTTCAATTCATATAATGTCATTGTACCTACAATGCAACTCACTTGCAATTGCACAGGACTTCCAAAGTTTGGAATTGGATAGGGTGACAACAACCTAAGTGGTGTCAGGTAACAACAATAGTCCCGAACATCTTGGGGATTTTTTTCCAGAAATACCACTAAAAAAATAATTCCAAAAATATCACCCATTTTAGAAAAATTTCAAAAATACCACCATTTTCTGAAAACCATTTGGGGAGGGCGCAATTTTTTATAAAAACCGCATCGGGACTAGACGGTCTGATAAACTACGCCGGGGGCAGCGATTCATATGCAAAGGGTCCGGATACTATAAGTGTCTATAATAGTAACAACATGGGTAAAACGAGTACTCACTAAAATTAATAAATTAGAAATTAAAATAAAATAAATAAAGACCCCAACCTTCCAGATCTCTCGTCTTCTTAATCCTTTTGCTTTCCCTTTCTTCCGGCGCCGAAGCCGATTCAAACCAATATGCATCCACTTTTTCGTCGGTGCCGATTCAAAAGCTTCTTCTTTCAGGAATCCTCATAAACAGCAGAGCTTCGCGACCACCACCGTCGACGACGGCATGACGAGTTCGTCGAGGGGAACATGCGGTCCAACGTGATTTTATTGCCACATACGAATATTTTGCACTTCAATTCATATAATGTCATTGTACCTACAATGCAACTCACTTGCAATTGCATAGGACTTCCAAAGTTTGGAATTGGATAGGGTGACAACAACCTAAGTGGTGTCAGGTAATAACAATAGTCCCGAACATCTTGGGGATTTTTTTTCAGAAATACCACTAAAAAAAATAATTCCAAAAATATCACCCATTTTAGAAAAATTTCAAAAATACCACCATTTTCTGAAAACCATTTGGGGAGGGCGCAATTTTTTATAAAAACCGCATCGGGACGGGACGGTCTGATAAACTGCGCCGGGGGCAGCGGTTCATATGCAAAGGGTCCGGATACTATAAGTGTCTATAACAACACTAGTCTACAAGATATAAGATGGCAAAACATGGGTTGGTTTTGCAGGGATTTGAATTTGCTGGCCTCTGAGGAATTTCCGGAAGGGCAGTTTGGACAATTCACCTGCCCACTTAATGAATTTTTGCGTTTTGGTTTTCTCTGATTTTCTCCATCAGTCCTCCCTTCCGTTATCGTCATTTACTGGGCCTAATTTATGGAACTTTCAAACCACAATGGGTCCAGACAGCTGCGGCAGGCCCATGGGTGTCAACAAACGTAATTAATTGTGATCCATTGACATTAGTGGAACTAATAAAGGGTTGTCGTTATTGTCATTTCAAAATAAATAATAAGCGTTTTGTTTTCCAAACCTCAATTACGGGCTCAAAAAACGGGTCATTGAAGGGTCCGATTTGGGTTGTGTTTTTTATTTTCAAAGTACCATTCCAGGCTCCACATATGGATTGTTTAATAGATCTTGAACATCTGTACGATGCTTCCCACAAACCCACCGAAAATTGAGCAGAAATTCAATCTCCATCTTCGTGCCTTTCACGCCGTCTAGATCCAAGTCGGCGACCATTTCCTCATCCCCTCGCTATAATCTAACCCACAAAAATGAAAGGTCAGAACTCTAAATCAGCAACCAAGAACCTACAATTCGACATGCAACCAACAAAAATTCATCTTACCTTCGCCTCCGTTGTCATAATTTTCGCTGGCGTACGTCGCTATCATCATCGTCGCTGGTATCCACCGCCGTCAATTCTCACCACCGCCGCGAGAAGCTGTTGTGTCATCGTGGCTCCGAAGTACGATCTTTAAAGCTCCAGTCGAGGAGATGTTCCGAGCGGACGAATTCACCCTAGGAGCAGGCGAATGATAGATCTGAAAGGAAGAAGAAGAAGAAGGATTGTGTTAATTTCCTTTTTGGTAGAAGAAGGGGTTTTAGTAAGGGAGGAAAAGAGAGTTCGGCGACTGATAATGAAGAAGAAAAAAACATACCAGAAACCTTTAAAGCAAACCACAAGTCTCCTAAACAAACCAGAAATCTCACAAAGCAAACCATAAATATTTTGAAAAGCACACCAGAAACACCCTAATGCAAACCATAAACACGGAAAAGCAAACCACAAAAAAACAAACCATAAACGTCCTAATGCAGACCATAAATATATTAAAACAAACCAGAAACCTCACAATGCAAACAACAAAATTTTTGAAAGCAAATTAGAAACTTCTTAATGCAAACCACAAACACGATAAAGCAAACCACAAATAGCATAAAAAACACGAGAAACCAAACCATCAATCTCACAATGCAAACCATAACATCCGGTGGTCGTTGACCGATCAACGAAAATCGTTGACCAAACTCCGATGACCGTCAGTGAGTAGATTCCAGCGCCGATAGGCATATTCCGGCCCCGATGACTAGATTCCGACGCCGGTGAGCATATTCCGACCACGGTGAGCATATTCCGGCGACGGTGAGCATATTTCGATGACAAAATAGCATATTCCAGCGATAAAAAGCATATTCCGGTGACCGGCGACCAGTGGCCGAATTTCGGCGACCAAAATTTTGGGCAGAAAATAATTTTTTATTTTATTTTATTTATTTATTTATTTATTTATTATTGTTTAAACATATTTTCATAATGAAAATTATACCATTGCTTTGATTTTACACTAGGTCAACTCATCTAATAAAAAGTCATCACAATCCTAACTTCATATTGGTTGGAGACTAGTGTTGTTACAATAACAACACAATGTGTGTTGTCATAATAACCGGTCCCTTCCTTAAGTGACGAGCATATATATAATAATTAATGTTTACACAGGGGATAACTGTGGTATAGGGTTAGTATATAGGTAAAGTAATAAATTATTAAAAAAATCAATATGGGACTTTGTATATAAGTAAAGTAATAAATTAATGTTTTGTTTTCATTAACCATAAGGATGAATTACATGTTTGGTCACTCAAATTATAGAATTTTTTAACGTTTGTCACCTAAATTACGTTTTGTTTCTTATTTGCCACTAACTTTACGAATCGTTTCACCATTAGTCACCGACCGATACACTCCGTTAAGTTTGTCCTATATGGCAGTCAACTATAAAGTTTGACCGTTAACTAGATGACGTGGAAATTAAAAATAATTAAAAAAAATTATTTTTTCATTTCATCTTTCCACTTACTTAGTGTATATGATTTATTATACTAATTATTTAATAAAAATTAATAAATTACAAAAAAAATAATCAACGGAAGGAAGAAATTGCAGAGGTATCACCGCCTAGCAGCTGGCGCCTGCTCCACGCTCTCGGAGTTCCCCCGATGTACCACATCTCGTTGTAGTCTTAGTTAGGCCGGTTAAACCGATAACCGGCGGTTACTGGTTAACCAATAACCGAAAAACAGAGGGCGCGGGCGGTTGGCGGTAGAAGGGTTGGGAAGGCCGGTTAACCGGCTAACCAACGTAAATAACCGCCGGTTAAACCGACTAACTGGCGCATCCTCACCCTCCTAAAACGGCGCCGTATGTGTGATGTGTCTGTCTCCTCCTAACACTAACCATCGCGAATCCGCAAGCCCTACAAAGCAGTCTCCTTCGCCTTCCACAGTCGGCAGCAGTGCAGCACAGCGGAATCCTCCCACAGCTAGGGCTGACAAATGGTAACCCGGTAACCGGTTTACCGTTTTACCGAACCGGTAACCGTTGGTAAACGGTAAACCGATTACCGTCGGTACCGGTATCCGGTTGTGCGTGGCGAAGATCCAATTTACCGGACACAGGCTCGGTATTTACCGACGGTAATTCGGTAATACCGATACCGGACCAGTTAAGGCATTAACATATAACATA